GCGCGGGGTTAGGCGGTCGGGGGGCTGGGGCGCCGGTGGGGGGTGGCAGGATCCGGGGAGAGCTGCACTCTCCTCTTCCCCGGGGAGGCGTCCCCGACGTGGGCCCACCCAGGGGCTCCGCCCGCATGGCCCAGAGCAGCAGGGGCGCGGGGTGGAGCCTTGCCCCGCAGCGCCCTCGCCTCTCGGCGCCTGCGGGCGGAGGGGAGATGCCGCACGGGGCAGGCGGCAGGCGCACAGCATCGTGAGGCGGGAAGGGGAGCGTGTGTGTGGGTGTAAAAGTTCTGTGATTTGTGATGGGTGGTCTTTTCCTTGCAGGTTGAAACTTTTTCTGGTGTCTATAAGAAGCTCACGGGCAAGGACGTTAATTTTGAATTCCCAGAGTTTCAGTTGTAAACAAAAATGACTTAAATAAAATATCATTTTCAGTACTTTGCTCAGGCGTGTTTTTCGAAACCCCAGAGCCACGCGTGCGCAGCTGCCCACAGTGTCAGCAGCCTCTGCGGCTGGTGGCGCGAGGCCCTGAGGGGCGTGTGGGGCTCCGTGAGGTGGCGGGTGTGTTGGGGCACAGGGCTGAGCAGCCCCACTGCGCGCGCACAGGCACCGGGAGGCGCGTGCCCGTCCCGGCTCCTGCGGGGCTGCCTCGAGGAGGAGCCCCGTCTCCGGGAAGCGGCCTGAGAGAGTCGGCCTCAGAGCGGGCCGGTGTCAGGTAACTGAACGCGGGGCCAGGACAGGTGTTGGGCCGCTGCCTGAGAGCCGCGTGACAGGGGCGGGTTTCTTCCGAGAGCAAAGGCTGATGGGAAGACGTACCCATTGAATTTGTTTTGTGGGTAAAAAAATACTTTGCCACCGTCGACATTTTTACAGGAGCATTTCAGTGGCCTTAAGTGTATTTGCAGTGTCAGGAAGCCGACCTCCAGAGCCTCCCATCCCGTGGGACTGGAACTAGACCCATGGAGCGAACCCTCTGTCCCTTCTCCCAGGGTCGTGCGTGTTCACAGGCCCAGTCGCGGGGGGTCTTGGATGGCCTTTGAAGAGTCGAGTGTCAGGTGTTCGGTTTTAACCTGAAGCCTGTGAGCTTGCGGCGGGGCTCCCGCACTTTCCCCCGGAACTGAGGGCTGGGGGGCAGCCCGTGGCTGGCTGCCCAGAGGTGCCAGGTCTTGCCGGGCCTTCGGAGAGTGGCGCCGACAGCTGCGGTTCCGTGGGTGCCAAGTGCTTTCAAAACCCACTAAACCTAGAGAGGTACCGACCTGTTCCACCGACGGATGCGCTCGGCGGCGGCTGCTTGACTGCAGGTCGAACCCACGACGGTGGCGTACGGAGGCGACGTCTAACAGCCACCATCCAGGGCTTCACTCAGAACTCTGCACAGATAAGTTCTCTGTGATGAGTGTAAAAGAGGCTCCCCCTCCCTCGGTGCACCCTTGTCTGCGCCCGAGAGCCTGGCGCCCCCTTGGAGACGCAGCCAATCGCTCAGGACCCTTGGCTGCCCCACCGGCCGCTGGCTCCCCCGCTGGCCTTCGCTGTCCCTGAGCCTGACTCCAGCAGAGCAGCCCCGGGGCGGGGGCGGCGGGGGGTGCTGCTCCGCCCGGGGACCCGAGGACCAAGCGCGTCGCGTCCGCTGCCTGTGAGGTCGTGCTCAGTGCCCACGGGCGGGGCAGACGCCGTGGGAATCGTGGACGGAGGCGGCGCTGACCTGAACTGCTGCCACGTGGCTCGTGGGCCCCGTGCCTGATGGGCTGACCTAGGGGATGCCCGGGAGGGGCCGCGGCGGGAAGAGAGGCGCCCCGAGTCCCTGTCACCAGCCGCCCTCGCCGCCGCTCCCGCCGGGTTCTGCCCCGACGGGAGCACGTGGCGCTCCCTGGGCCGTGGATGCCCATGCTTCTCTGTGGCCGTGACGGGGCGGCGCCACGCCCCCCGGGGGCTGACTCAGCTCCTGCCTCAGCGGCGCCACGCGGTCTCACACATGCGCCATGCGGGCCCACGGACGGAGCCTGGGCGGCGGTGGGGACGGCCAAAAGGAGACGCCAGGGCCCACAGCAGCGCCACGTCATCGGTGGCTGTGTCCTGGGCGTCAGGCACCGGGCCTGGCTCCCGGGGGCCCTGGGGTGGCCGTGGTCCTCGGAGCGTGACCCCTGGGCCAGCAGCAGCAGTGCCCGGGGACTCCTCAGAGCTGGCAGCGCGGGGCTCCCAGCGCCGCCTGCCGGGCCCGGCTCGGGGGGCTGTGGGCCCGCGTCTGCGGGGATGATGCAGCGCCGTCGGACTTCACGGGTGGCGCCCCGTCGCGGGCGTCCGGTGCCCACGCTGCCTGTGAACTCGGGTGTGAAGCCGGAGCCCCCCACGCTGGGCGCTGCCCCCGATTCTCAGGGCCACCTGGGCTCGGCCACGAAGGACCATCAGGCTGAGAGCGCGTGCCCTGGGGAGGCTGGGACGGGAGCCCGCACGCTGCGGAGGGAGAGGGGCCTCGCGCTGTCCTGCCTTTGCACGGAGCCGGGAGCCAGCCCGGCCCTGAGGGGGGCGGGTGGCCGCGGGCAATGTCCTCAGGGGCAGTGTCCCAGCAAAGGGGCGGCCGGGCTCCATGACCGCCGGCGAGAATTCCCACCCGGAGACCCGTGGGCGCGGCCTGGCCCAGGCCAGGTCTCTCCGCTATCTCTGAGGAATGTAAACAGTAACTGGGAGGCCAGGCGGGGGGTCGGAGTGCATGAGGGGAAAGGCCGTTCCCAGGGGCCAGGACCACAGCGAGGGGAGGACAGAGGGGCGGGCGGGCGGGCCCAGTGACTTCCGAGGACGGGCGGTGCTTCACGGCAGGCGCCGGAGACACCGGTTACGCCTGAGAGTGGGTCCACCTGGCAGTCGACTTGAAGTACCCAAGTCAGTGTAGTGTCTTCCCCTAGTTTTGTACCTGAGAGGAATTCTCAGGTTACTGGCACTTTTTAAAAACAAAGGGTGCCCCGGCTGGTGTGGCTCCGTGGACTGAGCGCCGGCCTGTGAACCACAGGGTCACCGGTTCGATTCCCAGTCTGGGCACAGGCCTGGGTTGTGGGCCAGGTCTCCAGTGGAAGGCGTGCGAGAGGCAACTACACATGGATGTTTCTCTCCCTCTTTCTCCCTTCCCCCTCTCTAAAATTAAATAAAATATTTTAAAAAAGAAAAAGAAAAGGTAAGCACCCAAGTCCACTGTGAGACAAGACAGGGCAGGCAGAGGGAGGCGTGGCCTTGGCCTCGGGCTGCGTGCCTGCTCCGCCAGCAGCCCCTTCTCTGGGGAGAGCCCCCGCGAGCTGCAGGCAGGGCTGGCCCCCCGGGGCCCAGCAGCAGCAGCGTCCGCAGCAGCGAGCCACTCGCGACCCAGCTCCGCACCGCTGGGTGGCCGGGTGCAGAGAAAGTGCCGTGCGCACACCCGGGATACTCAGCCTGCACTGGGGAAGGCGCTCCGGCCCAGGCCGCCGTGTGGATGGGCCTGGCGGACTTCAGGCGGAGTGGAATAAGCCAGTCACTCCAAGGCAAACACCGTAGTGCGTATTTTATGACATGCACACGCAAGACCTTAAATCAGTTGGGTACATTGGTGCAGGTTCTCTGCGGCTCCGCTGCAGAAGTCTTGAAATCAGGTAGACTGCTTCCTCCCACTTTATTTTTCAAAACAGGTTTGGCTATTCTGGTTCTGCTTTTTAACAGAAATTTTAGTGTAAACGTCTCTATACCTGCAAAGACCCTTGCTGGGATTTTAGCAGGGACTGAGCTGAGCTTGCAGGTGAGTTTGGGGGACTCGGCACCTCACTGCACAGGCTGGAATGCCCAGTATGATGTGCAGGGCTAAGAGGGGTGTCCCAGCCTTGTGCTGACCCTCAGGGAAGAGAGCCAGCCTCCCGCCGGAGCCTGGTCTTGAGAAATTGTTGACACACGCACTGTCCAGGTTTAAGGTATGTCGCGTGATGGCTCAGACTACGTGCACTGTGAGGCGCCTGCCCCAGAGTCTCCATTCCACGGAGGCGCGTTAAAGAGAAAAAGGGCAACCCCGGCTGGTGTGGCTCCGCGGACTGAGCGCTGACCTGTGAACCACAGGGTCGCCGGTTCGATTCCCAGTCGGGGCACAGGCCTGGGTCATGGGCCAGGTCCCCAGTAGGGGGTGTGCAAGAGGCAGCCACACATGGATGTTTCTCTCCCTGTCTCCCTCCCTTCCCCGCTCTAAAAGTAAATAAAAAGGACAAAAGAGTGCTTGCAGGATTTGCTCTCCTATCCTTCCTATCGCCACGCGGCACGTTTGTTCCCGTCATCACGTCCTTAGTGCCTACTCTACCTGGAAGTCTGCACCTTTTTAAAAAAGATTTTACTGATTTTAGAGAGGGGGAAGGGAGGCAGAAAGAGGGGAGAGAAACGTGGGCGTGTGAGGGGGATTGAACCGGTGACCTTTCAGTTCACGGGCCGGCGCTCGCGCCACTGAGCAGGACACGTCTCTTTCCTACAGGAGCCTCTGCCCCATTGCGTAAGCCCCGCCTGCCCAGCCCACCACACGGACGCGTGCGGCGCACGCATTGCCTCCAGATGAAAGTTCGGCGCGTGCAGTGAGTTTGGGGTCCCACCGTGGGTCAGGCCTGGACGAGCAGGAGGTCCACCTGGTGCTTCGTGGGGAAACCCCACGTGGAAGCACGTTGGCCGTATGTAGTTCTGTCTGAGAGGTCACCTACCAGGAGGTCATCAGCGCCCTTCTTTTTGCTTCACTGATTTCCCAAACACTCATGCTTGTCTCTTCCAAAGAAGAAACCGGGAAGAACGGGGAAAACGGAAAGATCCGGGGGTGTTTGGCTGGAGAGTGAGCCCTCTGCGGGGTCCGTGCCCCCGAGCCCTGACCCCACATCTGCCCGTTCCCACACTCCGTGCACCCCCTGCCGCCCCCTCCCCCGCCCCAGCAGGACAGCGATGGTTGCAAACAGGAAGCCGTTTGCAGATAACACCGCCGACGCCCGGCCGGATTTGCTGGGCGGAGGGACGGCCCTGGTGCTGGCCTCTGTGCGGGGCTGCCGGGCCCAGTGTCCTCGCAGCCCCCGACGGTCAGGACGCCCCTTCGCCTCCCGCGTGCCTCAGGTAGGGCGCACCCCGGCCGGTGACTCTGTCCCTTGGAGACCAGAGCGGGGCATGGCCAGCAGGAGACGCGGAGCCAGGGAGGGGGATTCCGGACCGTCCGAGGGAGGTCTGGGTGGGAGGGGATGGGGACTCTGCGCTGGGATCCGGGCCAGAGGCTCGAGTCTGCGCCCCACAGGATGAGGGGGCCCAGGCTCGATCAGCTCACCAGCCCACGGGGCAGCCGCCACGACTGGGACCTCGGTCCGCCGACAAGGTGGTCGAGCCGGGCCATGCAGATTCACAGAGGCGAAGCCGCCCCTTCCCCCCTCCCAGCCCGGTGTGGACCGAGGCTGGGGGACCGATGAGTCGTCCCTGCGCAGCCAGCCTGCAGGGACGTGGGGGTGGCGTGGAGGGGCACTAGTCTGTACTCAGTGACAGGTAGCTCCGTCATGGGGACCCGGGCGTGGGGGACAGACGGGTCACCTGACGCAGAGCAGGGGCCACCTGGTCTCCCCAGCTGGAGAAGACAGAAGTGACGCGGGGCGGGAAGCCTGGCCGGCAGAGCGGGCCGTCGGGCGCAGCGGGGGTAGGGGTGCGGGGGGGGTCTGGGTGTGCACGTGTCGCTTGGCATCGTCACACACGCAGACGGTTCTCCGTTTGCTGGGGCGCTGTGCCCCGCCGCACGCCGGGCGGGCCCCGGGCTCCCACGCTGTGCGGCGCAGTTTTGGAAAGCCTGTGTCCGAGAGGACTGACCGGGTTTGCGCAAAGCTGTGCGGTCTCCGTAAGAGGTTAAGAAAACCGTGAGCTGTCGGGGTGGCGAGCTGCCCTTCTGCCGCCCGGGAGGCCCCGGGTGCCCGGTCGGCCGGGTCAGCCGGCCACGGCCGCGCTCTGGGCTTCCCCACAGGCGGCAGGCGCGGCAGAAATCGAACAGCACGCGCAGCCGTGCGTTTGGCGGACGAAGCCTTTATTTCCCTGCTGATTTCCCCCTTGCTCTGTAGTCCTGCCGAGAACCCTGATGGGAGCCCTCCCCTCCGCAAGGCCGCCGCTGCCCCCGGCGGGAGGGTCCGGGCCCCGGGGGCCAGGCCGGCAGAGGGGGGCCTTGCTGTGGGAGCCTCGGGAGGGGCTGGGGCTTCTCGGTTTATAAAACAAGATCCCTCTTCGCAGCCGGCAGGGGAGAGCTCCTGCCAGGGGCTCCCCACCCCTGCTGTCCTGACGCCCACTGGCGGGACTGTGGCGCTGACCAGTCCCCACGGGGTCGGGGCGGGGCGGGCCTGGCAGCGGGGCCAGGGAGTGAGTGAGGGGCGAGCCAGGAGCCGCGGCCGCAGCGGGTCCTGCGTCTCTCTCTGCACGCTCTTTCCGGTGAGGAGGCTGCTGGTCTTCCCTGAGACGGCCCCTCAGCTGCCCGCGGGGAGCGACACACCCTTCCCTCAGGCCGCGCCCCCGGGACGGGGGTCCACGGCAGCTCCGACACCTGAGACGCTTACACAGCCTCGTCCCAGTTCGCACCCTCAAAGGCCAAGACGTGGTGGCGCTGGCCTGGGCGCAGGGGTCGGCACAGCGAGCGAGCGTTCACGGTGACGCTTCGCTGAGGTGTCATCGCCTCGTGACATCACATCATTGTTCCTGGGACCAGCCGCTGGGTTCCTGATGGTCAAAGGCCCAGGGCGACCTTCAGCCCTGGCTGGAAACCCAGGTCGCCCTTTGTCAGGCGGCCCGGGACGGTGACGGCCGCGGTGACAGGCCAGGACCTGCCCGCGTGGCCGGGACACTGGGGACAGTGGGCCTGACAAACTCCCCAGGACATGGGCAAAGGTCGCGCCGAGGAGGCGTTGGGCGGCCTGAGCCGCGGTCGTGAGCTTCTGCCTGGCCGTCCGTTCACCCAGCTCAGTACCTGCCAAACCCGGGTCTGCGCGCTCCCAGCTCTTTACTGGTTATAAGCTGTGGGGCGCGCCGCCCCCGCCGGTCCCTGTCACCCCACGCGGCCCTGGCGGGGCCCGCAGAGGGGCGGGGGAGGCAGCTCAGCCGGGGCCGCGTGGCGGGCAGTCTACCGTTCCTTCTCCTCTCCCTCCGGCTCCGGTGTGTGTGCAAGCAGAGGCGGCTGCCCAGTTCTGGGCATTGGGGGATGGGAGGGGGGTGGAAGGCGGCTGGAGGGTCAGCGCCCCCGACCCTGCTGCCCACCCGCGAAGCGGGGCTGAGCCCCCCGCTGCCCGCTGAGCCACGATGGCAGCCCCGCTCTTCCCGGGCGGTCCTGGGGGCCGGGCGGGACTCAGGTGTCCTTGTTCTCACGCAGCGGGCGCCGCTGCTGTGCTCTCCACCAGGCAGTCGCCCGGGAGGTCACAGCCGCCCCCGCCACGGCCGGGAGGGGCTGCCTGACGCCCACGCAGGCGGGCGGCAGGGCCCGAAGGAAGGGCGGGCAGCGTCCGAAAGGGCAGCCGGCCCCGGGGGCGCGGCTGGGCAGCCCCGTTCTCTGCGCGGCTCCTGCCCCGTGCGAGGGGCGGGGGCCAGGCCTGTGGGGCCTCACGGCCCCTGCCGTCTGCTCAGGGAGAACGCTGACCTTCCGCCCCGCCCTTTGCAGTTGGCTCTGGGGCCTCGCCCGCCGCCGGGGCCGTAGGCATTGTCGCCGTGTCTGCTGTGCGCACGGACTCTCTCCAGGGAGCACCGCACAGGCTTGCCGCCTGGAACCACGGGCTTCCAGCTCTTTCACGCGCCTGGAGGCCCTCGCTGGCCGCGGGGCCGCCCCGCAGCGTGTGGTCACCGTGGAGCCAAGGCCGTCACTGAGCGAGCTCTGGCCACAAGCCAGGCCCCAGGCAGAGCTCCGGGTGCATCAGCCACAGGAGGGGTCTCACCTCCGTCTCAGGTGACCGGGCGGACAAGGGAGACGCCGTCTAGCAGACGCCCCCTGTCCCCAACCTTGGTGCCATTTAACACCTAAGTCCCATGTGGTGGGGAGGGTGGCAGGTGCCCCTTGAGTGACCCAGGGACCGCTGTCCGGCCCTTCCAAGTCCCGGTCCCACCCGGTAGTCAGGGAGCTTGCGCTGCCCCGAGCAACATGGCTGAGCCCAGGCGCCCTGTACAGCGGAGAGGCCTGTCCGGAAGTCCCCACGTGGTGGGACACGCTGTCTTGTGAAACTCAAGCCAAGCGCAGCCACACAGCCTGCTGCTCAGGGACACGCGCCTGTGTCGCGATGCTGTTTCAGAGTCGGCGAGAGGAAGGGGACTCTGGGCCAGGGGCCGGGTGGGACGGGCCAGGGACCCCAGCGCCTGGCAGGACCCGGCTGGTGAGGCTGGCCTGGCGGGCCGCACGGCCCCCTGGCCTGTAAACGCGCCTCCATGTGAGCGAAGGGCCAGTTGTGAGGAACTGGAAGACAGCACCGGCGCAGAGCGAGAGAGGCCGAGGCAGCAGGAGCCCCAGGGCGGCTGGCGCGGCCGCGGCCCCGCGGGGGAGGCGTGGCCGCGAGCCGGCGTGGCCTGCACACTGTCACTGGCTGCCTGGCGCTCGGACTTCCCGTCTCTGTTTATCCCTTCCTGCCCTCAGGAGTCAGTGCCCTGCCGCGCTCGCCATGAAGGGGGCTCTGGCCCTAATCAGCCTGGCCTTCCTGGCGCTGGCCCCGCCCGGAGACCCTCAGCAGACGGCGGACGATGCCTGCTCCGTGCAGATCCTGGTCCCCGGCCTCAAAGGTAACCCTGCCCTGGCCCCCCCCACCGCAGGGCCGCTCCGGTGGGTGGGGACCCCGTGCTTGATGACCCAGTGGGTGGCCCGAGTCTCCAGTCCTGAGCCCTGGTGGGGCCGCAGCTCCCCCACCTGAAAAGCAGGGGCTGGAGCGCAGGGCGCCCGGCCCCGTTCAGCCGGGAGCTCTAATTCGGGAGCCGCTCCCTGCGGCTCGGGCCGCGACGCGTGTCCCAGGCTCAGCCCTCACTGCCCCACGGGCCCTGGGAGAAGGGGTGGCCTGCGGTCCGCGTCGCAGATGAGGACGCTGGGGGGCAGGGGTTCGGAATCGGCCCGTGGGGCGGCGGCGCCCCGAAGCCCGCACCCCGCGCCGCTCCCCTGCGGGCCGGCAGCCTTCTTCTGGGAGCCAACGCCGATCTCTTGCCGCTCCCGGCAGAGCGAGCCCCGCAGACAGAGGGGAGGGTGCCGCCCGGGGCACCCAGCCCAGCACAGCTCTTTGCGGGAGGAGGTCGCCGGCCTCCGTGAAGCACGAGACCCCGCACCCTGTCACCCGACGCGGGACCCGCTCCGTCACTCTGGGGGCCCAGTGCAGGCGGGATAAGGGATTTAGAGGCAGGGACAGGGCCCCTTGGCTACACGGGGTGGGCTGGGCCCCCAACCCCTGAGCAAGGGGATGGGGGGGCAGCCCAGGCCCCCGCACACGGGGGGCGGCCGCGTCATGGCTCCCCCCACCGACTCGGGCTCCGTGCGCTGCTGCCAGGGGACCGGGGGCGCCTGGCTGGGGGTCTCTGGGCCATGTTCACTGTGCCGTGTGGGGACCAAGAAGTCAACCCTGCAGCCCAGGCAGCCCGGCGGGCTCTTGTGGTTTTACGTAAAGCAAACACGCTGACCCTCTTTAAAATGTTGTAGCTCACGTGGGCAGAGGCCCGCACTGCCAGACGCCCGGCTGAAAGGCACAGCTTTGCAGCCTGCCGTGGGGGCCGTGATTTCAAGCGTGAGCACGCGGCGCTCCCTGCCCCAGGCGGACGGGGGTGGGCTCCGGGGTCCGCACGTCCCCTCCCAGTCTGGCTCCGGAGCAGGGATGCCGGGGCCTGCGGCCCCCACGTGCCCGTGGGGCGTCGGGGCGCCTCCCAGGCCTCGGGCCCAGCCCTTGCCTGTCCTGTCCTGAGAACAGCTTCCAGCTGCTCCTCCGAGGAGCCGAGTGGGGGGCTCTGCACGAAGCCATCGCCTCAGTCGGCACCGTCCGGGGTGGGCGGAGGGAGGACCTGGGTCTTGCTCTGACGGGAGAAACCTGGGGGCGGTGCGGGTCCTGCTCTGTGTCGTGAGTGTGCTGATTGGAAACGGCTCCTGATTTAGGCAGGAAGTTCACTGCTCTGATGTTTAGATTGGCAGGGGGGAGGGGTGGGGCGGGGGTGGGGGTGGCGAAGGGAGGGGGAGCCACTGGCGAGAAGCAAGTCGGGGCTTCCAGGCAGTAACGGTTCCGGGTGAGGCCGACCTTCGCCCCCTGAGAAGGGAAGACGGGCGTCACAGGGACTCGGTATTGGGTGTGCGTCCCGTGCCCCCGGGCTGGTCCCCTCAGCTGGCCCATGTGGGGTGAGGGCAGGGAGGCCGCCTCCCTTCTCCGATGGCTCATGGATCATCTCTGACCCTGCAGAGAGGCTGTGACGGTCACACAATGCACAGCCCATGAGCGCAGGGGGACGTGGGGGCCTCAGGGCCAGGGCCGAGGGTCCTTTCCACCCTAGGTCACTCCACCTTCTCTCAGGAAGGGTCTCGGGGACAGTGAGGACTTCTCGTCACAGGAGAGTGAGTGTGTGCGTGTGTGTGTGTGGTGTGTGCACACGGGCGATGCGCTCCGCCCTCAGGCCCAGCTTCAGGACGTGTGGCGCCACGGGACGCTTGCTTCCGTCTCCGGGACGGTGGCTAAGCTGGCCAGGCGCAGGGTCGGGGGGCGGACGGGCTGCCGGCCGGGTAACCCCACCAGAGCGGACCCGGGCGGCCTGGGAGGGGTCTGTCCGGACTGTCAGCCAGAGAGGCGGGAATGCAAATGCAGCGAGGTCTGGGAGGAGGCAGGCCGGGCTGGGAATCCCCGCGGCCAGGCCGCCAGCAGCCGGAGGCCGCGGGGCGCGGCGTGCGAGGACAGTCCCCTGCCTCCCGCGTGGGCCGTCCGCCCTCCTCAGCGCAGCTCTGCATGGCCCGTCCACTGGCCAGTGTCGGTGCCCAGGACGGAATCTGTTCACCGCAAGAGGCCTAAGAATCACCCATTAGCCTGGCTGGTGGCTCAGTGGGTTAGAGCGTGGTCCCCAAGTGCCGGGGTCGTGGGTTTGATCCTGGGCCAGGACTCACACAAGAATCACCAATGATGCATAAATCAGTGGAACAGAGATCGATCTTTTTCTCTTTCTCTCTTCCTCCCTCCCTCCCTCCCTCCCTTTCTCTCTCTAAACATCAGTAAATAAAAAAAAATTTTTAAGAAGTATAAATAATAACATCCTAGTTGGTGTGGCTCAGTGGACTGAGCGCCGGCCTGAGAACCAAAGGGTCGCGGGTTCGATGCCCAGTCAGGGCGCAGGCCTGGGCTGCGGGCCAGGTGCCCAGTGGGGGGCCTGTGAGAGGCCACCACACACGGAAGCTTCTCTCCCTCTTTCTCCTTCACTTCCTCTCTCTAAAAATAAGTAAATAAACTCTTTTTAAAAAGTACAAATAATAACACATTATCTCTGCATTCGGAGGGAGGGACAACTCCTCTGATGGGAAAGCGGGGTTTGCTCGCGGCCCACGGCGGTGCTGGAGGTGGGCGAGCGCGGCGGCACGTCGGCAAGCCTGCTGCACGGACGTGCTGAGGGCGCAGTCACTCTTACAGGTTTGATCGAATTGATTTAAAAATCATGAATCGTCACCCCTTAAAACAAGGTGAACGGAGCCCCACGTGACACAGGCCTGGGGTGGCTTTGCTCCCCGGGCGTGGCACGCCCGTCGGGTCTGGGAGCCCCTGGTCAGCGGGTGCGCGGCCGGCCGGGGCCTCGGCGTCTGTCGACCGCAGTGGCAGGTCCGCGCGAAGGCGCCCGCATCCGTGCGCTCACAGGGGCGCGAGGGCCCACAGACTTGTTCGTTCCGCTGCAGGAGCAGGTGTCAGGAGACAGGGGACACGTGTGGCCTTTCCGCGCTGGCCGCCTGGATCAGAGCATCTCAGGGTCGGCCCCGCGTGGCGGCCACACGCCTTCTGGGTGGGCCCAGGACTGTCCCAGCGCAGCCTGTGCAGAAACACTCTGCTCGCAGATTTCTGCATGCCTCGCAGGGAGGGGAGCAGCAGTAAATACCAGTGACGTTTCCCCTCTTTCTCGAGAGGAGAGCCGGTTGTGAGCTACGGCAGGGACAGAGGCTGGCAGCTGAGATGAGAGCTGCTGCTGGCGGGGCGGTAGCCGTTGGCAAGAGCTCCGTGCAGCACATCAGCCCGAGGCAGCGCCAGGGAAGGAGCAGGGTGCGGAGAGGCTGCCGCGTGCCGGTGTGCGTGGCGGCATGCACGTCGCCTCGGCGTGGAGAGGGTTACCGACGTCCCGGCTGGAGTCATTTCCAGCCGGGGCTTGGATCTGCACGTCCCCCCGAGAGGAGCAGACAGCGAACATTTCAAACCCTGCCACGGGGAACCGAGCTTGGAAATGGCCTTTGTTCTTAGGAAGCACATCCAGGGCTCGTGTGCAAAATGAGGCCAAGGTCACTAGGAGAGGCTGGGCCCAGGAGGCGGCTCTGCCACAGAGGGTCAGAAGCAGGACCGAGGGGTGTGTGTCGGGGGGCAGGCAGGGCACCAGCCCTCACCAGCAGTGAGACGTCGGAGGCTGGGGATCGGCGTGGGTCCAGGTGGCCCGGGGCCCTTCCTCCGTCCTCCTCGCCTGACTACAGCTCGCTCGTCCAGCAAGTCTCCACTTAAAAGCCGCAGTTCCGGGGAGGAACCGTTGCGCCGGCCAGAGCAGGAGCGTGGGCTCTGGGGGGCACATGCTGAAGGGCGGGGCGCTGGTCCGAGAAGCCAGGGGCCACGGCAGACGGGGCAGGCAGGGGCCGGGCGGGTCGCTGGCCCTGGAGGACCCTCGAGACGCTCCCTCTTCATAGACGTTCAGGGTCGTGGGCTCGCGGTGAGCGGGGCCAGACCGGGAGCCAGCCAGAGCGGTAACTGGAGAGAGGGAGGCCCGTCCTGCGGGGGGGCAGTAGGGAGGACTCAGAGTCCGGAGGGCGGGCGGGGCCGGAGAGCTGGGCGCCTCTCCGTGGAGGTCGGGGTGGGAGAGGGTCCGCAAGGGAGGGGCCGCGGGGCGGCACAGGCAGGGCGAGCTTTCTCCCGGCCGCCCCCCACCTGTCGCACAGGGTCCTGAGCTCAGAGCGGGTCCTAAACGCATGTGACTTCTTCCGCAGGGGATGCTGGCGAGAAGGGAGACAAAGGCGCACCGGGCAGGCCTGGAAGAGTGGGCCCCACGGGAGAGAAAGGTACCTTCTCGGCCGCCCCGAGCTCTGCATGTGAGGGCCGGGCAGGGGCCGCGGGGGGGGGGACACGAGGGGGCCCCACGCCTGTGTAGGCAGGTCTGCGGTTGTGAGGCAGGGCGCGTCGAGGCCTCTCTGAGCAGCTGCTGGCACCGCCCATGGGCTGCAGAAGGACCCAGGGCGAAGGTGCGCGGTTGCGAGGGTGCGCGCAGGGGCACGCAACCACCCCCGAGGGCCGCCAGGGGGCGCGCGCAGACACGGGCTGGCACGTGGGGGCGCCCGTGCCCCGCCCACGGCGCCAGCCTCCGGGAGCGAGCGTGTGTCCTCGCAACCGGCACATGGGCACCAGGCCCGACAGCGGGGCAAGGCCACACGCAGTACAGCGACGGGAGGCGTCCAGGACGCGGCGTTGCCAGTGGCTCTTGAGGTTTAATCCAGCCGTCCACGCGCGCCCGCGGAGCTGTCCACGCCCTCCGCCCGAGAGCGCGCACTGAGGCCCGGCGGGAGGCCGGGCGCCTGGCCCCGGCCGCCCCGCAGCGCCGCACAGCGGGGTTGTTCCCAGCTTTTAAAAACTGTTGCAACGGCCCCAACAGAGGCCGCCGAACATGAGATTTTTAAAAAAAAAATTATTTACTTATTTATAGACAGAGGGGAGGTAGGGAGAGAGGGAGGGAGAGAGGGAGGGAAACATCCATGTGTGGCTGACTCTCGTGTTCCCCCAACTGGGGGCCTGGCCTGCAACCCAGGCCTGTGCCCTGACTGGGAATCGAACCGGCGACTCCCTTCGCGGGCCGGCGCTCAGTCCCCTGAGTCACACCAGCCGGGGCTGAGCGTGGGTTTCTAAACGCATGCGTCTGCACATGTGGGCGCCGCTCACGGCCACGACCCAGACCCCGCCAACCCCTGGGGCTGAAGTTCACGGCTCGCTCTTCTCTTTGCTCACGAAAGTTCATTTAAAAAAATGAGTAAGCCAGTCCTATAGTTCAAAGTTAAAGACATACAGACACGATGTACAGAGAGCAGTCCCCTTTGCGGCCCCGCCCACAGCCACCGCGGGGTCCTCGGTGGCCGCGTGATCCTGTGCCCCCGCAGCCCACGGGCGCTCGGGCTTTCCAGTCCCGCCTGCGGAGCTGTCACGCGCTGTCTGCCTGGCCCTGTTCCTGGGGACTCGCGCTTCCCTGGTGGGGGCGCTGCAGGGGGCGATCCCGTGTGAGTCACCTTTTAAAGTGTCCGTGCAGCTGGAGGGCACACCCAGCTGCTCCACCGCGTGGCAAAGTCCCCGTGATGCCTCCCAGGGGATGGAGTCGCATCCGGTGCCACAGGCGCTGCGCACAGGCCGCCCCGGCGCGCGGACGGGCCGCGAGGCGCCTCCCCTGCGTGGGCCTCCTTTGCCTCTGTCTTTAGGAAGAAGCCGGGTCGTTGGTCCAAGTGTCTGAAAGGGATTTGTATTTCTTTCCTGTCTTTTTGTCCTTCTGTTGGGTTGTCTTTCTCTGTCTTTTTGAAAGCCCTTCTTAGGTTCTTTTTCTTCTGGGTGCATAAGGCGCTTCTGTTTTCTGCACGAGTCTCTGGATCTTTCCGTGAGCTGCCGCCGGGGACCCGTGGCCCTGGGAGGTGTCAGGGCCGCTGTCCTCGCTGCCGGCGGCCTCTGTGCTCCTCCTGTCCCGTCGTGTTTGCTGAGAGCGCGGCGCCGGTGGCAGCGGTGGTGGGGCCTCGGACTAGAGGCCCCAGGGTCCTGGCGGGCGGAGGGCGGGCTCCTCGGGCCGGGCCAGCCTGCTTTCCCCGCTGTGGGGACGGCGGCGACTTGGCCGCTCCACAAAGTTCTGGGTCACAATGGCTAAAAGTCCCTTAGACCAAAGGGCTTATCGTTCTTACTTTATTACTATACGTTACCTGTTTTATTGTTGCGCTAATGACGCAGTTTACACAGCGATAGAAAGACCATGCCTGTGGTTGGTCACACGGGAAAACTCACTGGTCATAATTAGGGAGTGGGCGCCTCCTCGTGTAGACGGTCACAAGCTCACGCTGCACTTCCTTGACAGTTTTCCTAAGGCGCGAGGTCCGAGTGGCGGCATGCGAGGTGGCAGCTCCGGGTTTCAGGCGCAGACGCGTGTCTGCTCGCTGGTCTCCGCTGTCATTTCGCTCGCCCGTCCCTCAGCATCGTTCTCACGCCTGCTCCTGGCAGCCACAGGGGTCTCCTCCCACCTCCTGAGGCCGGGACAGGCTGTCCTGGGCACGGAGGTGGCCTGACGTAAGGCGTTTCCCAGTCGTTGGACTCCTACGTTGAGTGCCACTGGGAGCTGAGTTCGCAGGAGACGTGGCCTGGAGCCCCTCGGCGTCCAGGAGGGGTCGGCTGTGTGGACGCAGAGGGCGCACTGAGGCCGAGAGCCACGTGCCGAGCCGCTGTGGCGGGGCGTGGCGGGTGCCGGGCGAGCTGTCAGACGGCCGCCCGCGGGGGCGGGAGGCCGCGCGCCCCCCGAAGACCTCGCTGTTGCCCTGCAGACACTGCGCCCGGGTTGCGGGGGCGGGAGCAGCACCTCACAGAAGCCCCTGTCCCGACCTGCGGGGTGGGCGGGACGGCGAGCTTGTGCACGAGCGTGTGTGTAGGGGGTGCGTTTGTGGAAGTGTGTGTTTGAATATGTTTTTTGGATGTGTGTATGTGTACATATGTGTACACAGCATGTATGTACATGACAGTACCGGTGTCTGTGTATAACGAGTGTGTGCATATATGTGCGCATGTGCCCTTTGAATAGCACACGTGTGCGTGGATGAGTGTGTGTATGTGATGGCAACACGAGGGGCATAGCATTGCCTGAGCACCCACCACCTGTGTCTTGTTTTCCGCAGGAGACGTGGGGGACAAAGGACAGAAAGGCAGTGTGGGCCGCCACGGGAAGATCGGCCCCATTGGTTCGAAAGGTATTTCCGAGGCTCCCCGCTTCCGCTCCCCGCTGGCACGCGGCGCCCGGGGGCTCTGGCCGGCCCTCCCGCGGCCATGTTTATTCTCGGGAGCCGCGTGTGGGATGCGCCGTGACCCGTCGTGTGCTCCCGGGGATGGTCAGAGCCCCAGCCGGCCTGGAGCCACCATGGCCGAGTCTGTGACAGACGCCTGCCGCTCTCACGGGGTGCCCCTCGGCGTCCTCACCTGACTGGCGCTCGCTGGAGTGCCAGGCCCAGGCAGGCGGGCCAGCTCAGCGCTACACGGCCCGCGGTCCTCCGGTGCCACTGTCCGCGGTGCCTTTGACCCGTCACCTGCGCTGGGCTCTGCAAGGGGCACAGAGCCCCAGCCCCTGGGCTCGGTGGGTGGGCCAGGGGGTCTGCGGCAGGTCTCGTCCTGGGCCGGGGAGGAGCCAAGGCAGGGAGGGCCGGGGAGGGTGCAGAGCTGCCGGGCGCCGGGGGCGCAGGGCCCGCGGGGTCTGCTTGCAGCTAGAGTGGGTGTCTGTGCGTGGTGACCTGCCGGGTGGCTCGCTCTGGGCTGTGGCCGGGCGAGTGGCAGGGGAACGGCTGGCCCAGCGTGGCCGCTCCCTCCCCCGGCCCTGGGGGCTGGCTTCCCGGGCGGCCGACTGCCCCCAAGCACAGAGAGGAGACGTATGTGCCTTAACAACGGAACGAACTGGGGAAAAATATTTGTAACATAAGACTTGCCCTTTCAGCAGTCACAACAGCGAGTGCAGTGGCATTAAGTCCATCCGCAGTGCGGCGTCGGCGGCCTACGGAACGTCCCTCCTTGTAGTTCAGGGGACCCCGGGGAGTCCCCCGTGGAGGCCGTGGCATGTCATCCATGTGAACTTGTGAGACATGTCCCATCTCTACTTGGCCACCGTGACCTTGCTTTCCTTTTCCAGGTGAAAAAGGGGATTCTGGCGACGCGGGGCCCCCCGGCCCCAATGGAGACCCAGGTATCGCACGAAGGGCCCCGGGGTTCCTAGAACGTGGGTCGAAACCGCACGCTTCAAGAAGGGCAGCCCCTGGCCTACAAGTGCCCCGGGCTGGGAAGCGGGGTGCCGGAGGCCTGTGCGGGTGCCCCTCATCCACCGCGCCCTCCGAGGCTGTCTCGGGGCCCCTGTCCCTCCACTGGCACGTGGCCCGTGTTCCACAGGCCTGTCGTCTGCTCGTGGGCGACATGCAGTTGATCGCGTCGCTCATGTAACCCTGCTCTGCCACGCCGTCCCGAAGCACAAGGCCCTCTCTCAGTGCCTCTCTGGCTGCCACCGGGCCCCCTTCCTCCGGCCACCGAACTTCAGAGATGAGCACGCCTGTGCCTTCCGGCGCATTCCGCCAGAATTCCGGGCGTCCTTGCAGCCACTCCTGCGACCCCTCCTTTAGTCCAGCGACGCCCGAGCCCGCGCCCTGGACGGGGCTCCGCTCTGAGTCCCCAGGCGGACACCCGGGAGGCGCCTTCAGCTCACGGGTCCCGCTGCTCCACGCAGCTCAGCCTGGCGCTGCCTCCCGCTGAGTCACCGAGTTGGGAGCCTGGGGTCCCCACCATTCCGTCCCTGCATCCCTGTCCTGCCGCCACCCTTGTTCCCGTGTTTCATTGTCCCTCTGCCTCCGCGGTGGCCACCGGGATCCCGCAGTCCTCTGTGCCCGGGCCCCGAGGGCCCACGGCGTCTGCTGAGCGAGGCCTGTCTCTTGGGGAGCTGCGACTCCTTCTCTTCTGAGCCCCGCCCTCGAGGGCCCCCGCTGACACAGGCCTGTGCCCGCAGGCCTCCCGTGCGAGTGCAGCCAGCTGCGCAAGGCCGTCGGGCAGATGGACAACCAGGTCTCCCAGCTGACGACCGAGCTGAGATTCATAAAAAACGGTAGGCTCCTCTCGTGCATGCTCGTCCCCTGCCGCGCCCGGCGCCCCGCCCAGCCCCGGAACCCAGGACCCCTGCGGCCCCTGCGGCGGCCCGTGCATGCGGGACCCCACACCCCGCCCCCCTCCCCCGCCCCACCCCGTGTCTGCGCTGGGCCCGCTACGGAAGCGCGCGAGTGCCCACGCCCAGCCCTGCGCTCCCCGCAGCCGTCGCCGGCGTGCGTGAGACCGAGAGCAAGGTCTACCTGCTGGTCAAGGAGGAGCGGACCTACGTGGACGCGCAGCGGTCCTGCCAGGGGCGAGGCGGCACGCTGGCCATGCCCAAGGACGAGGCGGCCAACGGCCTCATGGCCGCCTACGTGGCGCAGGCCGGCCTGTCTCGTGTCTTCATCGGCATCGACGACCTGGACCGCGAGGGCAGCTTCGTGTACGCCGACCGCTCCCCCGTGCAGGCCTTCCACAAGTGGCGCGGCGGCGAGCCCAACAACGCCTACGACGAGGAGGACTGCGTGGAGATGGTGGCCTCGGGTGGCTGGAACGATGTGGCCTGCCACCTCACCATGCACTTCCTCTGCGAGTTCGACAGGGAGAACGTGTGAGCGCGGCTCCCGCCCACGCGGGGCAGCTCCTCAGCGGCGGGTCCTGCCCCGCCCCGAGGGCCGTCCTCGCCCAGGAGAAAGGAGGGCGCCTGGGGCGGCCTCTCGGGAGACGTGAAGGCCGGTGGGCGGGCGGCAGTCGGGGCGCCCGTTAGGTGAGCGCGTCTCAGCGTCGCTCGAGCCTTTGTCACGGCTGTAGACTGACCCTTTCCAGTATCACAGTGGTCGAGCCCAGCGAGGGCCGCCGGGGCTTCTGTTACTATCTTCTTTGTATTTTCCATGCGGGGAAGAGTCCACTTAACTCTGACCAACGTTTCTGTAAGTTATATTAAAATAGACGATCCTTTTCACTATTAGCTGAGTCGGGGCAGTTTTGCTTTGCTGCAAACCCAGATTTCAGGAAAACGAGAAATAAAGTCTTCAGTACTAACAGTTGAACGTGTGGTGGTGTTTTATTCTCTTAATTTCTCCGATAGCTGTATTCGTGATCTGTCGCCGCATCAGAAATTGCCCCAAAATGTGGTGGCTTATGACAAAAATATCAATGCCACTCGTTCCTGTGTCTGGGACTCGGCTCAGGCCTGGCGGGGCAAGACCCAGTCCCCGCCGGTGGCCTCCCTACCTCTGAGCAGAGGGAGTGTGGGGCGCAGCCACCGCCGCCGCCGGAAGCCTCGTCCTTAGGAGGGTCAGCAGGCCCAGGCTGTGCGCTCGGGGACGCGGGGCGGGGGGGGGGGGCGGCGCTTCAGGGAGGTGCACATGGGAGGCGGGGCCCGGGGAGCCGTTCCAGAAGCTGCCGCGTCACCACGTTTCGTACATCACACAAACCTGCTGGTAAAACGCCACGAACCTTTGTTTTTCAAAGACGACTCACAGACGTGCCCACAGAAGGGAGGCCCATGGGGGTGGGGCCGAAGGCAGCTGCTGGGGGGGCCCGGTCAGGCGGGCCCCTGTGGTCGGTGTGCGTGAGGCCCTGACGCAGCCTGTTGCGTGGTGGTGACGCAGGACATCTGTGCCCCAGGCTGTGCTGGACAACAGGGCTCCTCCTCCTCCATGCTGCCCGCCTGTGGCCATGTCCCCCGGCTGGGACCCCCGACCTCGTCTCCTGCCCTGCAGGGGCGGGGGCTCAGGGCCCTTTGGCTACTGCACTGGCTGTAGGAACCAGGGGTGCCCCAGCAGCAGACCGGGCCCAGGATCCCGCCGGATCCCACCCTGTACCCCTGCCAGGTGGGGGGCTGGCTCCCCGTGGACACCTCCTTGCGTCCGGGGCAGGTCCCATCCATGGGGGCACATGGGATGGGGGCCCATGTACGACAGCTAACCCAGCGTGGTTGGGGACCGAGGGGAGCCAGGCAGGGCGGGCCGAGCCTGAGCACCCGCAGCCGCCACAGCCTCCGGGCAGGGGTCCCCAGCCCCAGAGGGGCCCCTGCTTGCAGGCAGGGCGGCTCGGGGTGAAACCCCCTGAGGGCGGGCTTCTCCCCTGCTGGTCCCCCCCACAATGAGATCGGAGGCCAGCCCCCGTGCCCCTCCTCCAGCAGGCTCCCCGAGCAGCGGAGGTGCCAGCAAACACCGGGCAGCCCCTGCGCCCGGTGCACCCCCCGGCACCCCCTCCCCCGCCCCGCCCCGTGGCCCCGGCTGCACGTGGCTGCAGGGCGGGGCTCTTTTAACGTGAAGTTACAGGGTGCGGGCAGCCGGCCAGCACCCTGCGGGAGGGCAGAGTCTGACAGGCAGGGTCAGGGGACAGGCAGGGCCGAGGACAGTGGCATCTGTTAGGTGCTGCAGCGAGCCCCCTCCCCGGACGTGCCCGCGGGGACAGGCGAGCGGTGAGCGAGGTTGACAGGCAGACACACCGGGGACTGCGGAGGCGACTGTGCGTCTGCGCGGCCACACTGCCATCCAGTGGCGGGAGGAGACGAGGGAGACGCAGAAAGAACAAAGGGGAGGCGGGGCTGCCGCTCAGAATGTCCTGACCTTTGGCAGAGAGACAAGGTCGCCGGAGGGGCGTGGCTCCTCCTCTGGCCCTGGGGCCCTGGGCGCACAGCTCGGTCCAGATGCGGGTGCGGGGCAGCTGGCAGCCTGGGGTTCTGGCAGGGGCCGTGGGGCTCCCCTCCGCTCTTGTCCCTGCAGCCATCGCCTGGGGGGGGTTCTGCCTCCCCCAGACTCTGACGCCGGCTCTCACCATCCGCCCACGTGGGTGCCCAGCGCTGGCAACGGCGGGGACAGGGCCCCCACCCTGGGTCCAGCGGGAGCAGGGCGAGGGGCAGGTGAGGGCTGAGGGGCAGCCCCTGGGCTCCGGGGAGGACAGACAGCCGGCGGGACGGAGGGCCTGACCCTGACATTGGCCCTGCCTCGGCCGTCCCCTTGGGGTGTGACTGTGGGTGATGCAGGTGGGGTCCTGTCTCCCAGTGGGGCCTGCGGACTGACCGGCGCCGGCCTCCCCTGGGCCCGGAGGGGCGCGGCCTGCCAGCCCCGCCCAGCGGGCTGCAGCGCCCCTGGTGCACTGGGGCTCGGGGGCCGCCCCGGCGTGTGAGTGAGGGTCCGGGCCGCCCCGGCCGCCCCGGGCAGCCGGGCGTCTGTCCTCCTCGCCGGGGCCTGGACTCAGCAACGATGAAGGATGGGGAGAGGCCCCCGCGCTGCAGTCCCGGGGCTTCGCAGAGACGGCGAGCGCAGAGCGCATCGCTGCTGCTGGGGACAGGCAGCGGGACAGGAAACGTGGGGTAGAAGCGCATCTGTCCCTCTGGTGTCCCTCTGGTGGCGCAGGGTCCGCTGCAGCGCAGGGCGGGGCTTGCGTTCTCAGGAATCTCACCCGGAACCGGAGGCCCGAGTCCGCGGCGACCCCCGGGGCCCCGGGGATGGGGGGCGGTTCTGGGCGGGCGCAGGAGGTGCTGTGGGGAGAAGGCTCATCAGGCAGGGGCACCGAGCAGGGCCCGGCGGGAGGGACGTGGAGAGCGCGGGACTCTCCCCGGCCCGGAGGCGCACGCGCCAAGTTCCCGCTGCAGGTCAGCCGGAAAGGGCCCCGGAGGCCTGGGTGGCTCTCCGACCTCCTGAGCCCGTTTCTCAGCCTTGAACCGGACCCACGCCGCCCGACACGGGTGTGGTCAGCTGGGTGCCCGGCTCTCGCCTCGTGGGGGCTCCGAGGGCGGACCGCGCGTTTTTTGTCTCACGCCACACCTGGCCAGGTGCGCCTCCCCCTCCAGGTCGGCAAACCGCCTGAGTCCGGCGCGTGCCCGCCTTTTCCTGGGGCCGCAGGTCCTTCCACTCGGGGAGGCGACTGGCAGCCGGTGCATCGCAAGAATGTTTGAAACACACAGGCCTGGCTGTTCAGCCAGGGACACTGGACTCTTTATCATCCAATAAAAAAATGACAACAGCCAACAGAGCAGTAGCCGACCGGTGTGAGAGTCTGCCTCGAACCGTAAACATATCGGTCATATAATGGAGCTGTGTCTTAGTGGACAGGCCACATAATAAGGTTGCGACTCATTGGTTAATTCTAGGTACCAGAAATCCTTATCCACAAGTGTTGGCACCTGATTCTTTAAAAAAGTCACTTTGGACCGAAAAGGGTAGGTAATGACTATTATTATATTTTTTGTAAATCAATCAAGATTTTATTCATTTATTTATTTATTTATTTATTTATTTATTGTTAGAGCAGCAAAAAATACACGTTTCTGGCGGGCTGCTGAGTTTTAGTACTGAGCTCACGGGTGCCGAGCGATGAAAACGGCTGGAGACCCCTGCCCTGCGGACCCCCCGAGGTGGCCCCTCCAGCAGGCGGGAGCCGTGCCGGGGGGCCTCGGGAGAGGAGGCCAGCCAGGAGCCCCCACCAGGCGCGGAAGGGGCTTTCAGCCAGGGGTGGTGGCGCCCGGGGACCCGGGTTCGCGCTCGCGAGGGGCCTCCGGCAGCGCCCTCCGCGCAAGGGCCTTGCAGAGTCTGCGGGGTGTCCCCAGGGAGGGGCCGCCCGGCCTGGGCCCCTGCCCGCGGCCCTTGTGACGTCACACAGGCCGGCCCACTCTGGCCACGCCCCCCGCCCGGTCAGTCCCTGGCGCGTTCTCTCCTGGCCGGTGCCCGGGCGCCATGGGACCTTGGCTGGCTTCTGAGGAGCAGGGAACCCGACCCTAGACACCGGACCTCGGGCTCCCGGGTGAGGCTGGGTGCTGCCTGTAAAGAGCCGGCCACGTCAGGGCTGCCGTTGTGCGGAGCGCAGGGCGGCCGCAGGGACGCCTTCAGCGGCGCTGAGCCTGGGGCCCCTTGGAAGGGCGGGGGTGGGGCAGGTGACGGGAGACAGGGCCAGGCTGCTGTTGCTGTCCCCGGGGAAGGGCCAACGGCGGGAGCAGTGTGTCCAGGGCCCGGGGCAGCCCCAGCGGGAGACGCGAGGCCCCGGACGGGGCTTCCCGCTCTGCTTGGGTCGAAGTCCTGTGACTCTGGGCTTTGCAAACCATCCAAGAACTCAGCTCGCAGGTCAAACAAACCTATATTCAAAAGAAGAGCCACACAGTTGAGCAAAGCCTGAGTGCGGGCAGGCGCGGCAGACCGTGCGGGGCTCACCCGCCGCCGACCCGGGGCCCCCGAGTCCCCGCGTACGCCCCTCTCGTTTTGTCCCAAAGTCAAATCAACTTCTCTTCTTTCACTGTGACTCTCGTACTCTCGGCCAAAGGCTTCCTTAGGCCTTGCCGACCGTGATGACGCGGGTCACCGCCGCCCGTTAACGGGGTCAAGAGGAGGCGCTCTCGCTCCCACGTTCCCTAGACCCGTGCGGCTGCGTCTTCTGACGTTAAGGCCAATCCCAAAGAGGAACCTAACAACAGCAAAGGAGCAACCGCGCTCGGCTGCGAGACTGCAGGGTGATACTTCTTGCATCACAAGAGAATTGTCGCCTCACCGCCGCGGCATAACCCTCCTCGTTTCTGATGAATCAGCTGCAACGTGCGCGAAACCCTCAGCCCGGTCATCAAACACCGCGGCCGGGCACCTTGCCCCTTTGCACAGAATTATTTAGACACCAACGTAAGCAAACGTTATGTGTTTCCTACAACAGACTTGGAAGCAGGGGCCCCGGTGGTCTGAGCCGCTGGGGGCGATTCAGGAGAGAGAGGAGCCTGGCTGCTGGGCCTCCCCGGGAGACCTTGGCTGCTCGCCCCGTGGACACGGCAGGAAGGGACCCGCTGTGGGGACGGGAGCAGGGCGGGCGAGCATCCCGAGGCCTGGGGGCTGTGACCCGCCCGCCTGGGGCAGGGCTGGCTTCCTTCTGCGCCGCCGCGGGGCACTGGCTGGGCCTGAGCAGCCGCGGCAGGGAGCAGCTGCCCTTTGCCGAGCGCGTCTCACGAGCCCCGTGTGGGAAGAGGACCGTGAGGACTTGAGGTGACCTCCCCGTTGGGGGCCGAGAGGTGCTGGACGGGGTGACATTCCGGCCTGAGCTTCGGTCTCCGTGGGCGACGTGAGGACAGTCGCACAGACCTTGTGAGGAGGTCGTGGGAACCGGAGCCTGGGTCAGGCGCTCGGTCCAAGCCTGGCGCACAGCAGGTCTTCTTTCACAGTAGGAAGCCGAGCGGAAGGCTTTCCGACCCTGGTGAGATGTCGCGAACGCCTTCCAAGGCCATCACTAAAACCTGCTATCGCAGCGAAGAGGCTCGCCGCAGTGAGGGCTGCCCTAGAGGGCCCGAGGAAATGCGGGGCAGACCGCACGAGGCGAGGGCGCTGGAGCCTGCTGCCCGGAGGGCGATGCCTGCCGGGCCGCGCCGGACGGCAGCTGCACCCGGCGTCCGGGAGGCTGGATTCTAGATTTCGTCAGAATTAAACGCGGACACCACGCGAGGCACTGGCCCATCTCCGTGTGGCTGGGGAGCGGACGCCCAGGGCCAGGGCTGGCCCTCTGCGAGCTCGGCCCTGCGCCTCCCTCCCGCTCCAGCCGCACTCTCCGCCTGCCACAGACAGAGTAGCAGAGGGTGTGCGTGCGTGGCCGCAGAGATGGAGCTGAATTTCATGCCCCCCAACCCCACCTCCGCCGCTGCCGTCTCTTAAAAATTGCCTTGGGGATCCATCCTCCTTGGGGAGCTATCCCTGGGGCGATCCGATCCTCGTAGTAGCTTCCAAAGGCCTGTTTGTTTTTCTTCTGTCTCAATGCAACGCGTTTACACACACTTGGGTGGCAGTCTTCACCGCCAACGGAGCTTCGCCGAGAGAACGATAGAGCGTTTAAGCGAGTGGGTCTTGGAGGGAGTGTGCCGGTTGCCCGACCACCCTGTCCCTGGTGAGGCGGACGGACAGCGGCTCGTGGGACGTGGCGTTTCCTACCCCAAACAGGGTCCCCTCCCGCCAGTTAAAGCAGACGTGCCCCAAGGCCAGGACTTGCTGGGAAAAGCAAACAGTACCCTGAAAACTCCCGCCTGTGTTTGGGGTGCGCATCAGGGAGCGCGCGTGGACTGAGCCGGACTTGCCAAGGCCCGTTCGCCCAGCAGCGTCGGCTGGCCCAGCGTTCCCGCCCCCCCTTCGCCCCGGGGGACGAGGCGCGAAGTCCCCCCGCCTGGGCCCCAGGCACCGCTGCAGCGTCGGCCTGAGAGGGCACTGCTCCAGTCCCCTCCCGGGTCAGTGTTTGTGCGAAGCCACCTTTTACGCCCACCTGGAGGGATCGTCGGGTGGGGGACGCTTGCCCCATCTGCCCGGCACCGTCTGTGCTGTGACCGCCTCAGTCTGCGGCCTGCGGGCCTGGCTCGGCTCGCAACGGCGCGCGGTGACCGAGCCTGCCTCTCCCCTTCCAGGCAGCATGGCTGACTTGCCCAGGGAGGGGAAAGTGGCTCGGTCGCCCGACTTCATCCAGCTGATCGACATGGCGTCGGAGTCCGTGGGAGGAAAGGTGAGCAGGGGGCTCGGGGCGGGAGCCAGACGCAGGGAGGCCGCGCTGGTGGCGCCCCCCTTCCCCGTCCCCTGGCAGAGAAACTAGCGAGAGCGGCAGGAGGCAGGCCGAGGGGCCGCCTCACCCGGGAAGCCCCCCACCGCCGAAGGCTTCCAACAGACTTTTGTTCAGTGGGTGCCTTACGTTAAAAAAACCAAACCCGGACATTTTGTTCCTGTGAGAAGAACTCCCGATGGCCGCGTGGGTTCTCCGAGAGCAGTGCCCTCGGACGGCAGCGTGCGAGTCGCCGGCAGCGCCGGCTGGCCCCGTGGGCTGGGCGCTGTGGGCCTGCAGCGGGCGAGGGACGGCGGCCTCCGCCACGAGCAGGGGCAGGGCTGCCAGGCCCGGGCGAAGGCAGGGAGGCGCCGGCCGTGAGCGGGGAAGGCGCGGGCCCAGGACGAGCGACGCCCAGAGCGGGGCAGGCGGCTCGCGAGGCAGGGAAGGGGCGGAGGGTGCGTCACAGAGAGAGGCACGGAGGGGCCGACATGGTCCGTTCAGGCGGGAGTTCCCGGAACCTCCGGTGGCTGGGGGGGTGCGGGAGCCTGGAGAGGCGGGAGAGGCCCTGGGGCCCCCAGAGTTTCCACGGAGGGGCCACCGGCGGGTCTGGAGCTGGGGAGGGACCCCCACATGCGTGTCCCCTGAGTGCACCCTGCGTCACCCGCAGGGGCAGGCCTACCCGACGCAGCAGGTCCTCGCAGGCCTTCTGGGCTCCGGGGCGGGGGGTGTGGGGGTCAGTCAGGCCAGCGCACCCTGTCCCCTCCAGGCCGCAGCCGTCCGGGGGTCCCGGGTTAGGCAGTGTGGCCGGCAGCCTGTTTTGCTGGGGAAATGGGTCGACCCCTGCTTCCTGAGCGTGGTTTGGGGCGCACCCCTCTCTCAGAAACGCCCCACGTTGGTTCAGGCTCCCAGCCAGTCCTCCGCAGCGCTTGAGACACAGCCCGGTGTCCCCGATCTTGAGAAGAAGAAAGTCGGCTTCTCCTTTTCCCCAGTGTCAGGGGTGGGTGCCTGGGCCTCCAGCCGGTGGAGGGAGTGAGAGCTGGCGGAGGGAAAGTCTCGAGGGGCAGGTGGTGAAGCGTGAACCTCTAATGGCTTCTGGCTTAATGGCTTATTGTCTCTCTTCCCCCAGGCAAGTTCGCGGTCTCTTTTTACTGCATCTCATTAATGCCTGGCGAACGAAATAAAATGGTTTTTAATTTATGGTTATTTTATCTTCTTTATTTGCCTAGATTTTGTTTGCAACAGACGACTTTTTTGCTCCTGCGGAAAACCTCCTGAAGGTATTGGGGGGGGCGTTTCGGGGGGCGCGGGGCCGGTGGGCGGGGCCACGGGCCGCGCCGAGAGCTGGCGTGGGGTCGGTGGATGCGACAGCGCGAGCCCCGCCCTCTGCGGGGCCGGGCGCTGGCTGTGACGCGGTTCTGCCCGCTGCTCAGTGGTGAGGTCTGCACTTGGAGGCCACACGGCAGAACTTCTCTCTCTGAGAGACGGGGAGGCCCCCGGGCGGGGGGCGGGGGTCACCCGCGCCGGGAGGGAGGGGTGGGCCCTGCCACGCCCACTGGGGACGCCCGAGGGTCCGCGCCGGGAGGCCCGTCTGGGCTCCGGGCAGAGGGACTGGCTGGGAGCCCAGGCCCCGAACGCAGCGAGTCGCTGCCTCGCTGGACGTCTGTGCTTCAGAGCGCCGGGCCGCGCTTTAAGGAGCGTGAATTCACCGAGTTCGGCAAGTGGACGGACGGCTGGGAGACCCGGAGAAGGAGGGTGCCAGGTACCTGGGCTCCGCCCTGTCCGTTCCACGCTGAGGCTTTAGAAGGGGGCACGTGGGGGGTCGGGGTCGACACGAGTGCCCTGGGACGCTTGGGACCTCCGACGTCCCCGGAGGACACTGGCTCGGAGCATCTGGGAAGGGGCGGGGTCGGCCCCGTGCGCCCCCGGACGTAAAGGAGCGTGACTCTTGCTGGGAAGGCGACAGCGTGCGGGCCGTGGCGGGGCGGGCGCCGTGCGTTCGCCTCGGTCTTCCTGGCTCCGGGCCGGGGGCTCAGCCCCAGCCGCCGCTGCGGGAACAGGCCGCCACCTGCCGGGCCACCCCGCAGTGCGCACTGTCTCGGGTCGCCTTAAGGTGTCACCTTTATTATTGCAACTCCTCCGACTCCACCAAAGTACGTCCCTTAAAGCTGAAGAAACGCGTGCAGGAGCACCCGGTCGCCCGATGGCCCCGGGCGACCGCGAGAGGCACGCAGCGGCCGCTGACCTGCGGCGCTCCCAGACGGTAGCACGCGCGCCAGAGCGGGTCTGGGCGGGGCGGGCTGGGCCGGGCCGGGCCGGGGGTCCTCACAGGACCGTGGCGGTTCAGCTCTTGGGAAGCGGAGCTCAGCCCTGACCCTCAGTGGAGGAAGCAGGGCTCAGAGGGACCACGCACACAGTGGCTGTGGGTCAGCATCGGCTCCCGGCCTCCCGGCCTCCCGGCCTCCCCGGCCCGGCCGCCCTCTGGTCTGAGGAGAAGGGGCAACTCCTGTGGCGAACGGTGGTCCGTGGGGCCCCCCGATGAGACTCTACAGTCGTAGCTGAGAGGCAGCCCAGCCAGGCCCCCGTGATGGCCAGAGCGGCTGCCGCCGGACGTCCGCGCTTCCGTTCCACCCTCTCGCCTGCCTCCCCTGCCGACTGGGTGTCACGGGCGGCTCTGCTGTTTGGGACCCGCAGGTCACGACTGGTGCATCGTCAAGCTAGGGGTCCAGGGCATGATCCGAGGCTTCGACGTGGACATTTCCTACTTCACAGGAGACTACGCCCCGCGCATCTCGATCCAAGCAGCAAACCTGGAAGAAGGTGCCTTGGGACGGCCCCCCAGGAAGGCCCTGCGGGGTCGCGAGGCCCTACCCCCTCCCCTGCCCTGCATTTGCAGCCGGACGGGCTCCGCAGCTTGTCGTGGACACTTGGCTGCCACGAGCCCCCGAGCTCCAGCTCCCGGCAGCGCGCTCCTGACTTTGGATTTCTGGCCCAGCGATGCCCTTTGACCCAGTGCAGACTGCATTATCCCCACGCTGCCCAGCCTCCCCCAGAGACGCCCGAGCCACCGCGGTGGGGGGCGGGGAAGGTGGCAGGGCCGCCCGGACCCCCCGGCCGGCGTGGGGCCCGGCCTGCGCCAGCCTTCTGGCCGTCCGCCAGCCGCACGCCTCTGTTCCCAAGTCACCCCCGGGACCCCGGGAGGGGTGGGGAACGTGCTTCTGGAACATTCCTGGACAGGCTCCCATTTGAAAACCCTAGTCACGGGAGAAATTGGTTAAAGTTAGACTTGACTTGGAAACATTTGCTATTCGGACGAGCAAACGCACTACCAAACGCCGCGCTCCTTTTGAAATTACTGCGAGCGTGTCCCACAGCGAGGGGCCTTTGGCAAGAGTGGCTGTTAACGTCGCTCACCTGCTACTCTGACATAAGATGCGGTATCATTCGTGTTACCCGGCAAAACGAAAATGACACCCTGCCCGCCCCCCGGAGCGTGTGTCCTGTTTGAATCTGAACCTTCACCCTGACCCTACGGCCCCTCTGACTTCAGAGAAAGAGCCGGAGATGCCGCAGAGGGGAGGCCGGGCCGGAGTGGCGGCCACGCCCGCCGAGTGGGAGGCTGTGGCCCAGGTGCGTCTCCAGGGAAGGGCAGGGGGGCGCAGTGAGGGGCTGCTCAGCTCGCCGGGCCCCGCCAGGTGCCGGGCACCACCCAGCACCTGCTGGCCTGCCCGCGTCTCCCAGAACGTGGGTCTGGACCAGCCCGGGGAATCAACGCTGCGTTTTGCTGTGTGTAACGTGCTCCCATGTGTGATGCACACGCACATTTCTGTGCGCACTGTGCACGGGATTATGATACCCATGGTATGTAATCATGATATCCATGTATAATGCACAGTCTTGTTTCTCCCTCAAAAATTTGGGCAAAGAGGTGCGCATTATGCATGGTGGAAAACAGGCAGCCGGGGCCTTCTCTTAGGGAGGTGTGGATCCAGGGGAAATTGCTGTGGGGTTCCTGCCCGCGAAGTGCCCCCCTACCCACCCCGCTGACCTTGCGGTCCACGGGCACTGCCCTGGGCTCACGGACACGTTCACACCCCCGTGCTGGCGGCTCCTTTCTGAGACCCCGCAAGGGGGAGGCCTCAGGAGGCAGCTCGCTTCTGGTCCTTCCTCCCCAAGCCCCCCGTCCGCCCCCACCCCCGCCCCCGCCTCCTTTGCGACTTGCACAGAAGCCTCCTGGGGGTCTCCCCTGTTCGGGGGCCCGCGCCCTGCCAGCCCCACGCAGGCGGGGGCCACACTGATGGCTTCTGTTTGCAGCTGAGGTCCGACGGCTGGGAGAGCCTGGTCCCCATGACGGAGCTTCGGCCAGGAAAGCCCGCCTCCAGCCACAACTACTTCCTGGTGAATTCCCTGCAGAAATGGACGCATGTGAGGCTCAACCTTTTCCCAGGTGACTGCGGCGCAGCCCGTTGGCACGGGTCCCTTCTTTGGCTTCTTTACGGTGCAGCAGCAGGTTTGAGACTAGAAAACGCGGTCGCCCTGGCAGCAGGCGTCCCCAGGACCGGAGGGCGGGAGGGCTGTCTTCCAGGAGGTCACGCGCTCGCCGGCCACCCACAGGGAGTGCCGGAAACCGCCGGGTCCGTGGTGACACGGGGCGGGGCAAGGGGCGCGAGGCTGGCTAGGTCCTGGGGCGCTGTCTCGCAGGCGGGGCGCCGGCAGGGGCGCAATGTGCCAACGGCCCTGCTCGCTTCTCTTCATCATGGCTTCTTTCTCATAATTTCCACCCCCGGCAATTCCCCCTGTGAAACGGGGCTTTGCGGGATGCGGCTGGGAGGCCGTGTGAACACACAGTGACGGTCCCCATCGTCAGCCCTCTGAGAGCAGTTCTATCGTCTCAGAGGGCAGTCCCGGGCCGGCGGCGTCCACCTTCCCCTGCGCCAGTCCCGGCCGCCGGGGTCTGCTCCCTGCCCCGATCGGCTCGGCGACTGTGGACATTGCCCGTAAACGCCGTTGGCGGCTGGCCCCTGCCACTGAGCATGTGGCTTTCTAGGCTCAACAGGCGGAGCGCGCGGCAGCAGCGCTCCGCCCCTCCCTGTGGCTGAGCGACATGTCCCGCGGGGGTGGGCTGCGTCGCTTGCCATTCGCCTGCTGGCCGACATCAGGGTGGCCCCCGAGCGAGGGATGGTCCAGCCGCACGCCTCCCCGCGCCAGGCCTCGCGTTTCCGGTCGGTGCACGCCTGGGACTGGAGCTGCTGGGTCATGTGACAGCGCCGGGTGTAATTGTCTGGGGAACGACCAGGCCATTTTCCGAAGTGGCTGCACCTTTGCCGTCCCTGCAGCCGTGGACGCGGGCTCTGGCTCTTCCCGGGAAGTCGGAGCCGTGCCAGGGACCGTGGGCGGCTGTCTCAGTGCGGCTGTGACGTGCGTCTCCCAGACAGTTAGTGGCGGAGAGCGCCTTCTCAGGCGCTAGCCGGCCGCCTGTGTGTTTTCTTTGGGGAAATGTCTGTCCCGAGCTTCGCCCATTCTTACACTGGGCTTCTGTCTTTTGTTATTGTCATAACAGTTACTCGTGTGTTCGAAGTACTAACTTTTTACCAGCAAATGCGTCCCCCCGTTCCGTTGGCTGTCCTTTCACTTTCTTGCCAGTGTCTTTTGATGCACAACAGTCCTTAATGTTGCCGAAGTTCAGCAAACTGTGTTTTTCTTCGGCTATTCCTATTTTTGAGTCGCATCTAGGAAATCATTGTCGAGTCCAAGGTCATGAAGAAATGTCCTTGTTTTCTGCTAAGAGTTTATCACTTTAACTTTTAGATTTAGGTCTTTGATCAATTTTGAGCTACTTTTTTTTTTATATGCTTTGAGGCAAAGACTCAGCCTCATCGCTTTGCACGTGGATGGCGTTTCTCCAAGAACCGTTTGTTGGAAAGACACTTCTTTTCCAAGTGAACGGCTTTGGCCACGCGTAAAAAATTAGTCAGCTTGTAGACACATGGGTTTATTTCTGCCTTTTAATAATTACTTCACTATTTTATTTTTATTTCTTTTTAGAAATACATAGCTCAACTTTTCTCCCCCCTTTTTGGTGGCATTATTGTACAAAGTACATCTATAAATGTTACAAACCCAATGATACATTGTTACAGTTATTTATGTAATTGCATGTCTTCTGAAGAAGCTGAGAGAAGGAAGGAGAGCCAGTCTTTAAGGTGACTCAAGTTTTGTTACATTAACCTTCCTAGTTGCCACCTCCGGTTTTCTTCCTTGGTTCCGCGAGCTGCGCCTGCATGTGGTCCCTGGCCTTGCCCAGCTTGGTCACACAGTGACAGCCGTGGCCGAGCTCTCCGACGTCCTTCCCCCCCGCGCCCGCCGTCGGCGGCACGGATGGCCGTCTGATTGCGCTCAGCGGTGCCCCGGGCGTAGACTGCTCCACGTACCGATCCCATTAACCCGGGGTTCCCTTGAGGCGACAGGTTTTGAGGTTAGCGATGAGATCTGTCCTGGCCCCAGCGGGGCCTCTGCGAGCCCTGTCCCCGTCCCTCCCAGAGATCCGCCGGGCTTGCTCTCTAGCTGTAGTTCTATGGTTACAGAGGTCCCTCGTGGATCTGCCAGGCTCCTCAGCAGCCTGTTGCCCCGCCCTGCGGTCCCCGAGGGGGTGCCAGGCTCCGTCTGCTCTACATCCGGTCGCCCCTGGACTCAGCGTGTTGGGAAGAGACTCGGGCTCTCTGTTCCAGGACCTGCTTCTTTCCGAGGGCCAATCCCTACGCCTTGGCTCTGGGGCTGGGGCTGAGGGCGACGGTGCATCTCAGGGACACGCCTGCCTGAGGGCCCGGTGCGGAGCGGAGGGGCAGTGGGGCTGGGACTCGCCTGGGACTTACCCGCAGATGAGGCCGGATGGCCGGCGCCGAGGCCCTGCCCTCCCAGGAAGGAAGCCCCCAGCTCTCAGAGGGGGCAGCGCCTTGTGGGGGTTTTCACTTTTTGAAAGAGATTTGTTTAAAAAAAAATTTTAGAGGGAAAGGGAAGGAGAGAGAGAGGGAGAGAAACATTGATGTGCGAGAAACGTTGACTGGTTGCCTCTTGCGCGCCCCCTACCGGGGACCTGGCCCGCCACCCAGGCCTGTGCCCTGACTGGGAATTGAACCAGCGACCTTTCGGTTTGCAGGCCGGCACTCAGTTCCACTGAGCCACCCCAGCCAGGACGAGGCTTGTGGTTTTGCCCGCGCCCGTCTGGAGTCCCCACCTCACTGCAGCGGGATGAGGGAGCCAAGGGGCTGACCTGGTTCCAGGACCAGAATCTCCTGGTTCTTACTGAGTTTTGGTGGATTTTATTTGAACAAATGCTGCTTCACTCACTGAATGCCCTTGGGACGCTTTCGGAGACTCTGAGAGGCTGTTTTGGTTTGTTAATCTAATCCTCACCAGCTTCGCGGGGGGGTCTCCTGACCCTCATTTAGGCGCCGCGTGTGTGCTTCTGGTCGAACGTAAGACACCGACATGTGGCGATCTGACCGCACGTGACCGACAGTGGTGGCCGAGGCCCAGCGCCCGCTCAGTCGCTCCTGCCAGTGCCTTTCCCGGGCCTCCATGCCAGGGCAGCCCGGGTTCGTTTATCGTAAATGTCGAGATTTCCACTGCTCTACTGAGAGAGCTTCCCGTCACTGCGTTTCACCTCAGTTTTCATGTACGGATACGTCGAGCTTGAGTTCATGATTTTGAGTTTTGATATAAAAAACCTTGGCTCCTACCCTCTAGGAAGTAATATTCAAACAAATACAAATAGTCCCTTTATGAGAACCAGATAGCATGAGCAGATCTTGGTGCCTGTTCTCGGCTCTGCGGACCTCAATTGGGCTGCTGTGGTTCTCAGCCGCTAGTTGCTTTTGTGAATATTGTTTTTTGTTTTCTCATCCGCACTGTTAAACGATGTATCATCGTGAAAATGAAGACTTAGGGCTCTGCATGAGCCTCTGTGGGATTAAGCAATGCCAATGCCTGGCCCCAAACGTTGTATCGATGGTGAATGTACCAATTGCTTTTTGACTTTCCTGATGTTATTGATTCAATTAAAAAAGGAGCGCCTACTGTGCGCCAGGATTGGTTCTAGGCGGAGATGATCAGAAGGAACTGCACGGGCCGCGAGCCTGGCCTCAGAGGTTTTATATTCTGGACTCTGGGAGGCACGTTGGCAGGGACTTTCTAACAAACAAGAGAGCGTCCTCTCGGGACTGGCCTGCGGAGCGAGTCTGGAGGGAGACGGCACGCCCCGCCCAGGGGGCTGCCGGGCCGGGGCGCGGGAGGGGGCCTCCCTGCGGCCAGGACACGGAGGCGAGCCCTCCGGACGACCAGCTGCGACAGCTGTCCCGGACCTGGAAGGGCCAGGGCGGCGGCCCGGGCAGCGCACTCACAGGGGGCCTTGGGGAAACGGAGGAGGGACGCGTGGCCGGCTCTCGTCGTTTACGACCCCCAGACAGCGGCTCTCCAACTAAAAAGGAACTGAGGCGCCTTTCTTTCCAGACGGGGGCGTCGCACGCCTCCGGGTGTACGGGATCGGACACAAAGACTGGACGGCCACCGACCCCAAAGAACCGCTCGACCTGGCGGCCATCGCGTGCGGGGGCGCGTGCGTCGGGTTTAGCGACGCCCGCTTCGGGCACCCGAACAGAATGATAGGTGAGAGGGGCTGTGGTGGCGAGGCCACGTCCGGCTCCCGCGTCAGGCGCCCCGCGCGGCGGGGAGGCGCCGCCTCACGGCTCGGGAGGGCTTGGCGCCTTCGTGACCTGGGGTCAGTGGGAGTTCTCCTCTGTGACTGTGGGGCGAGCGGTCGGCACGGAAGGCAAGGCACAGGTCGCTACGTCCCTGCGGTCGTCTGCGACCTGGCCGAACCGCCGCCTCCTTGGCAACGGCTGTGCAGCCGTGTGCAGGGGCACGGCCGTGTGGCGTCCCTGCGCCCGCGAACGCGTCCGCCCGTCGGAGACAGCGGCGGGTGGCCCCTCAGCGACGCTCTCACCCGCAGGCGTCGGCCAGCCCGTGTCGGTGGGAGACGGCTGGGAGACGGCCAGGAGGCCCGACCGGCCTCCCGTGCTGCAGGTGAGGAGGGGGCGTCCGCGGGAGGGGGCGGGCCTCTGAGGGGGGACGGCTCTCGCTGTACATCCAGGGAACATGCTGGTTTGAGAGACCTCGGCCGCGTTGTTCTAAGAGCTCATGTTCCCCGTTCCCCACACTCACCCGCCCCATCACAGCGTCAGGGCACCGAGCCAGCAGGCCGGGCAAGGGGACCTGCAATTTAATGACGTGAAACCCAGAATAAGGGCACTGATGGACCTGGAGGGAAAGTGCCAGCTCCGTGGCTTCTCGCACCTGTGTGTCCCCAGAGGGGACCACTTAGGGATGTGTGACAGATTGGGGCCCCGGAGGAGGCTCGGGGGCTTCGCTCGGCTGAGCTCACGGGACATAAGGAAGTCGGGATGAAAGCCAAATAAAAAGCCACCGTCAGGGTGTAAACCCCACTGAGAGCTGAGCCGTCAGCAGCCCCCCTCGGGCGAGTCTGCGCGTCCCCCAGCGCCCTGGGCAGAAGTGAGCGGACCCTCCTCGCTGCAGACGGAGGTTCGAGGGCAGGGCACATGCACATCGGTTTGAATCTGACCAAGACCACGTTTGCTGGAAAGGTCCAACGAAGAGGCTAGAGGCCCGGCGGGCGGGCTTGGATCAAGCCCCTGTTGCGTGCAGCGTGCCACGCGCGTTCAGAACTGATGTAGAAAGTCATAGGACAAATTTGTAAATATTTACCAGCGACCCAACGATCTCACGGGGAAAGCTAGCAAAGAGGCCACCGGCCTGAACGGTAACTTACAAACGGGGACACGGAACGCACGTTGATGGCAGGAAGTAAACCCCGTCGGTGCCGGGGGCACGCCCCCCGCTGGCTGGCACGGTCCCGCCGCAGCTCACGCACTTCCTCTTGAATCGCAGAGTGACGAGGACGGCGTGCTCCGCGTTCCCGGGCACGAGTGGGCCGTTTTCCGACTGGCACACCCTGGAGTGATCACGCAAATTGAAATCGATACGAGATACTTCAAAGGTAAATGTAACGTCCGGGGTTGTGAGGGTGACGCCTCCCTGGGGGTGGGGTTCAGGCCTCGGGGCTGGGCTCGGCTGTCCACGTGCCGCTTGGAGTCGGCCACTCCCTCCCTCGGTGTCCTGCTTGTCCCTGTTACAAAGCATCAGGTTGCACGGCACGGCCCCAATCGCAGCGGGGTCTGCGGCGCCGTAGGCCCCCGGCTGCAGAAGCGAAACGCAGGGCCACACACGTGCGCCCAGAGAACACTTAGGGCTCCTCTCCGGTTTGCTTAGCTCGGTACTTCTTTTTATTGTCATGTGACAAAATATGTCGCCATAAGGAAAAGACTTTCCAGCTTCATAATAATTCAGAGGAGCTACATAGCAGTATGCAAGTAATTAAATCTGCCATCTAGGAAGCGTATCAAACACAGTCCACGTCTGCAGCCACAGGCCATGCATGGGAACTCAGACGCACAGCCCGCTGACCCGCGCGGCCCCCCTCCCCCGCCCCGGGTCCCGTGAGAGACAAACGCCGGTTTCAGGGGGCGACCCGGCGCCGTTGCAGCCGGGGTGTCCCTCCTGCTCCCCGAGACTTCCTCCCGAAGCTTCTGCCGAGAGGGGGCCCTGGTTTGTTCTCTGCTGGGTTTTGGGTCTGATTTAAAACGCCTGCTATCCCATGAGCCAAGGGCAGGCGGCGTGGAGAAAGTCCCTTTCGATTCCGTGCCCGCAGGGAACGCTCCGGCCAGCTGTAGCCTGGACGGCTGCGTCCTGACGACCCAGGAGGAGGAGGACATGATCAAGCAGAAGTGGGACCTCCCGGCCCACAGGTGGAAGGCGCTGCTCCCGGTCACGCAGGTGCGGCTGGGGGGCTGGTGGCGGCCTCGCGGGGCGGGGCGGGGGGTCTCTCCACGCTCTCCGCAGGCCCCTGCACGTCAGGCCTCCCGCGCAGCCCCCGGTCACGCGGGCCGGCCCGCACAGGCCGTATCTGCGCATTTACATGAGACGAGGGAGGGCTCCGCTGCTCATACTTTTGCCTGTCAACCAATTTCTGTTGCACATCGTCATGTGCAAAGAACACATACGGAAAAATGTTGCCGCATGGTATCAACCCTTGAGAAAGGGCGATAGCTTATGGAGGCTGCAACAATGTGTCCGCCTGAGGGGCGCACGCTGAGCTGGCCACAGGGGTCTCCTCTGGTCGCCTGGGAGAACGGCGGGTACAGCCGCTCCCCTGTGGGGCGGGTGGCAGTGTCCGGAGACCCACGTCCGCTTCGTCCCCTCTGTCTGTCCACGTAGTTCCTGTCAGAGCCACGCTTGTCGTGGCACCTGAGCGCCTACGCCGGTGCCGTCTGGACACCCCCCACCGCCGCTCGCGGGCCCCGGGGGCGGGCCGCGTGGCTGCCGGCGGGGGCGCTGACCTCCTAAGGCCCCACGTCGGCGCTGACGGGCGCGGGCGGGCCGGCCACGGGTGGGCACAGGGCCTGCGTCTGCCTCTCTTTCAGCTGTCCCCCGGCGAGAGCCACGTGTTCGACAGCCTGACCCTGGAGCTGCAGGACGTGGTCACCCACGCCAGGCTCACCATCGCCCCGGACGGCGGCGTTGGCCGCCTGCGGCTCAGGGGCTTCCCCAGCTCCATCTGCCTCCTGCGGCCCCGGGAGAGGCCCATGATGCGCTTCTCCGTGAAGCCCGGCTTCAAGTCCAGCCTTTAGCCCCGCGCACGCGAGGCCGAGGGGAGCCGGCTGCCTGAGGACACGGCCGCCTCCGGCTCCGGGAGGGTTTCAGTGCTGACGCGGAACGAGTTTCTGGCAGTTCGTCTTTCTCAGATCAATAGAATTCCTGGTGATTTAATAAAGTGGCCACTCACACGTTGATGCCGGTGTTCTCCAGGCACGTGTGGCGGGTTAAGAACTGGATGCAGGCGGTTGCATAAGGACGGCTGTTTGCTGATGCTACGAGACGTTGACGCTACGGTAGCAATCTCCCGCGCTTCTGTGTGTGGGCCCAGCAGACGAGACATAGTCTGTTGGGCGTAAAAGTTTGTTTAAGCCCATCAACGGCATGTATCTCTAGATCATTCCCGGTCCCAGCTCAGAGGACCGGCTGATCTCGACCCAGAGCAGGGACGGCCCTTCCCCGTTCCTGGAATCCTCCTCCCTGAACAAGGCGCGTCCGAACGGCAGCCTTCCGCTGCCACGCACTCAGGGGAGACACCCCCTGGATCCTCACAGGCCGTGGATGCTTCCAGATGCCGCTGCTGCCGCCTGAAGTGGGACCAGGCGCGGGGCCCTGTGGCCACCGGCTCCCTTGGCCTGAGCGAATTACCCACCGACCTCCCAAAGGCCGGGGGTAGGGTGCGTTCCGGACTCCTCCCCAGCGGTGGGCCAGCCTCCCGGCCCGGGGACTCCGCGGTGCCTCTCCAGGCAGCAGATCTGTGCGTGGGGTCCCCGTCCCCTTCTGGGGAGGGGCAGCCACCGACGAGGGACAAGGCCTTTCGGGAACGTTAGAAAGGGGGCAGACGGAGGTGGGCGGGCAGTGGCGATGAAAGTGAGCGCCCAGGGTGGGCCGGTGGGAGAGGTGACCGTGGCCGAAGATTTGCAGGAAGAAGGGCGCACCGCCAGCAAAGCTCGTGGGAAGGCAGGGACCGGGCCTGGGCCCTCCCGCCTTGGCTGCTGAGGCCCCTGTGCGGGGGGAGGGCTCGTGCCTGCGTGTCCCCCTCCCCTCCCGCCGAGAGCGGGAGGGAGACCGGCCCCGTTCAGCCCGGCGGCGGCCCGGGGAGCGCCCGCTCAGACGCCACTGTCACGCCCGTGGGGGGCTGCACTGCGTCCCTGGGAGGGCTCCCTGCACGCGGGGTCTCCGGGGCTGCCCGAGGGCACCTGGGTCTCCTGGTAACTTCTCTAACCCCCCGTGGTAACTGTCGCGCAGGCTGCGCCTCAGTGGCCCAGGCCCTCCGCAAACAGCCGTGCGGCTGGTGTCCCAGAGCGCAGCGCGGGGCGGTGCGGCCAGCGCGCCCGGACGAGGGACTCCTGGGAGCGGCCGCGGAGGGGGACGTGGCCGCCGCCGCTCGGGCGGCGCCCGGGGAATCCTGTCCGGGGGCAGGACCTCGGGGGCGGCTTCCTCCGCGGAGCCCTCCCCTGTTTCTTGTGTCTGCCCATAAAAGACACTATTACCATTCTTTACATTGTTGCTAAACCCATTTCTTTTATTGCGACATATATTGTATACACAGGAGTGTGCATACAATTCTATGTATAGTTTAAGGAACAGCGACAAAGCAGGCTTCTGCGTAAGCCGCATCCGGACGGAGGGAGCAGGCATCGCGCTTATTCAAATGTCTGCCTTCCCCGGCCTTTGCCCACAGGACGCACCGTTTTGGCTTTTATAACCGCTGTCTTTTCATAATCACGGAGCCTGGAGGCCGACTTTCTGCTGTTCTCTGTCTACTTTTCATCAATGCCACTGTCTGGCACATATTTTCTGTTACTTCCTTTCCCGCACAACACTGTGCTTGTGAAGCGCTGCTGTGTTAACAGCTACACGTCAGTCACTTTTATTGTGATGTACGATTTCACTGATTAACGGACCAGTTCATTGACCCGATCTGTTGTTGGACAACGTGGGTGGTTTTAATTTCATGCGGAAACCCGCCCCGCGGCCTCGCACACCCTGTGGCGCCCCCTGGTGCCCGCGGCCGCCTGGCTGCTGGAGGGCGTGTTTGTCGTGGCTGCTGCTGAGCGAGGGATCACTGCGCGCTTGGGGGCCAGCCGCTGCGCGGGTCGTCCCCCATCCCTGCGGCCAGCGCTTCCAGAGCAGCGCAGCCCGGCGGTTCGGGCTCAGAGCGGCTCCCGCCGCCGCCGCTGCAGCAGTGGACGGTCTGCGGGGCGCGGGGCGCAGGGTGGGGGCGGTGCATCTGGCTCACTCGCTTGGGCCCGCGGGAGGCGCCACGCTGGCCGGGGAGCGTGTCCATGGGTGGCCCAGAGGCTGGGGCTCCCCGTGTGGGCGATCGGGCAGAGCCACACGCCTGTTGTGGCTGCTGGTTCTCTGTTGCGCTGTGTCCTCTCTCTGCCTGTCCGGGCTCCTCTGAGGGGGGCGCGGGACGGCACTTTTGCAACGTGCTCGTCGGAACAAGCGGAGGCCCGGAGGACCCTGCCGTTTGCCACGTGGGCGTCTGTTCGCTGTGCCACCAGCAGCGGGGACTGGCTTCCGAGACGGGTGACTCGGGCCCGGGGGCGGGGCCCGGTGCTCCCCACGGCCCCCCACAGGGCCCTGGGGCTGGAGGGCCCTGACCCAGCGTGTCTGCCCGCCGGCCTCCAAGGCTGTTTGTTGGAGACATGCTTTGGCCCCTCGGCCGTCGTCCCTGACTGACTGCGACCCCCGGGCCAGCGTGTCCCGGCTCTGACCAGGCCCCCACCTCTGAGTTTCCTTCTTTCCTGGAGGCAGCCAGACAACTCCCCTACCTGGTGTGCTGCCGCCGGCTCCTTGGGAGGCTGGAATGTTGCCCGTTTTGTTTGGGGAAGAGCTGACGGGAGGAAGGGCTCTCCCCCGCGCCCTTCGTACCTGCTTTTCTCTTCCTTTGCTGAGGAGAAACCTGCCCTCGTTGTTCACGTCTCTAAGAGGAAGGTCGTGTTTTCCATCTTTGATCGTTTAGATGCGCTCTCTTTTACATCGGCGAGCGGTGCTCTGAAGCCTTGTTGAAGTGCAGGCTGGTTGGCTTCTCCGCGTCCCTGGGAGGCGGCCTCCCTCGGTTCCGGGAAAGGCCCAGCCACTGCGTTCTCGGCTGGTGCCTCCGGTCTTAGCCTGCGTGCCTTCCTTTCTGGGCCTTCAGGGGCCTGGTAAGAGAGGCAGGCAGTCGACGCAGATGGCGCCCGCGGTCGCTGTTTGACTCGTGATGACACGGGAGGGAAACAGCGGCCTTCCGGGGGCTGTTTCCCTGGGTGACGCCGGCTACAGCCAGCGTCACCGTAAAATATTTTTTGGTGGCTTATTGTGGCCAGGACACTTAGTAACTGCATTCTTGGGAAGGTACTATAGGCTCCCTGGTCCTCGGTCACCTGGCTATGTTGCCTGGTTCGTTGGAGGATTAAGCACGAACGCACACACAGGTGTGTCTGGTGCAGCAGGCAGGTGATGAGCTGTCACCGCCACACGGGGACGCACCTGCCGGGGCCTCCAGACTCTTCCGTCACTGACGCCGGTTTGTCCAATCAGCCTGGACGGGCGACTCCACAGCCCCGAAGCCCGCAGGGTCCTTCGGCCTCTTGCCAGGTAAGAGAACCAGCCTCTGAAATGTCACCGCCTCCGACAATAACAAGAGATGACATTTGCCTGGCACATCTTAGTGGATTACTCCGCGGAGCACAGAGCCCTGGCAATCGGAATTACGTGTTTAATTGCTGGAGTTATTTAATTAGTGAGGTGACACCGGGGTTAACGAATCGTTAACACGCGGAACGAGCGCGCCGCGCAGTGTCCCCCTGGCTCCGCGCAGCCAGGCGGGAGGCGGTTTCTCAGTGTGGCCGCTCCGTCGCCGAGCTGGCAGGCGGTGCTTCCTGTTGTTCCGTTTGCCAGCTCGGTCTGTAAAGTCACGCTTGTCACTGATGCTCCTGGTGTTGGTTTTTCACTGTCGCACGCAGGCGAGTAGATTTTACACGCGGAGCGACCGCCGGGTGGCAATGGAGGTGGGTGTGCGCGGCCACCTCAGCGGCCACGGCAGCCCCACACGCGGCGCCCTCTCTCCTAGACCCTCTGCTCCCCACCAAACAGGAGCCGCTCTGAGGACATGAGGCCTCTGCGCCTGTGCCGGCGGAGCCAGCTCGCTTCCGTGTGGTGCCCGGGGTGCGAGACGCCTCCCAGTCTCCCGGGGGGAGCGACCAGCCTGCGTCTGGGTAAACGGCCATCTGGTTTCCTAAGAACTGCTCCCCAGTGGGTACAACGGCCTGGGGCCCGGGGCCGCCCTCCTCCCCAGGACGGGGGTCCCTCCTCCCGAGGACGGGGGTCCCTCCTCCCCAGGACGGGGGTCCCTCCTCCCCAGGACGGGGGTCGAGCGCTGTCCGTGGCCGCAGGAACGCGCGCCTCCCCCGCCCCTTCCCGTTTTGAACGCAGGTGCCGTCCGGCCGCTGCGTGTGGACAGGCCGCCTCCAAAACGGCCCCGGGGGCGAAGGGCAAGGGCGGGGGGCCCTCCGCGTGTGACATGAAAACCCCCTCGCAGGGTGTTTGAGAGTTGAGAAGGAGACGCAGTGTGTTCTTCCTCACAGGGACTGAGCGATTCGACGGGCCTGGGTCACGCGATTCGGCCGCGTGGAGCCGCCGTGCGGGGGACATGAGGTCTGGGGCCCGGGCCCGCCCCTCCCTGTGGTGTCCGAGCAGTCGAGGCCGGTGACGCGCCCTCTCCGCACGCAGCTTCCCGCGTCCACGGGCGACAGCCCTCGGCGCCGCCTGACGCTCAGCGAGAGGCGTCTGGTCCATGAAAGCTCCGGGAAACGAGCGGAAGGCGCTGCCTCACCTGTGAGCAGCCCCTTTGGGGCACCCAGCGCCCCACCTCTGTCTCCCGGTGCGGGCGCCGGGCCCTTCACCCGTGTCCCGCTTCAGATTCCGGCCATCGGTGGCCGCGACTTTAACGACTCTCTAGCTGATGTTTTGCTGCAACCACGGGCCGCGTCCGGGCCGGACCAGCACCCGGCGGCCCAGCGCGTGTCCCCAGCCGCCTTCGCCG